GCCCCCCCCCCCCAAAACTCTCAGAAAAACCTTCATCTAGACTAAACTTTGTTTTAATAACCCTCCCACCTTCCCCCCCCAGGACTGAAAAAAAAACATTTTGGAGTGAACTATTCTTTTACAATTCTGATGTATTCTCAAACAATACTGAATTCAGCAGAGTTTGCAGGGAGTTACTTGCTATTTAGAGGATTTTACTTTATTTTGTCCGAGTGCAACAGCAATGAACAATCAGACTATCACCAGCCTCAACTTCTTTGCTTATTGGTTCATAAATTTCTCACGTTTCGCATTTACAGAAGATACAGAACCAGTGAGCAGTTCGTATGAGTCCTATGATGAGGAAGAAGTGACGAAGGGTAAGTCCACAGCGCAACACCAGTGGCCATCTCCTGAGGCATCCATCGAGCTAATGAAAGATGCGCGAATCTGTGCCTTCCTCTGGAGGAAGAAGTGGCTTGGCCAGTGGGCCAAACAGCTGTGTGTTATTCGTGAACATCGTCTCTTGGTATGTGACATCATTGCTTAAGTCAGTGACACCCATTTCCCACCCATAGCTGATCTATGATACGAATGTTTACACAGATTCCAGTGTTTGCAATCAAGTGTTTACATATGATACTATTAGTAATAATTTACTTAAATGTTTGCTTTTAAGTTTCATATGTATTTCAAACTCACCATTCAGTCAACATAAAATAAAAAATGACCATATTTACTTTCTTAATGCACATTTCTGGTCTGCCTGTGCATGATGTACTGTTGCAAATGTTTGTCATTTTGTAACTTTTAACCAAGATGTAAAAACTTGCACCGCCCCTGAAATGACTTTCTTATTTGGCTGATGTCACCAAGACTTCTTATTTTTCAAGCAATGCATGTCATCCACCCGTCATGGAACTTTTCATGATCCAGTCAATTTCCAGTGGAAAAAAAATCAAGTTCCACCCATAAAAATCCTCAAAAATGTCACATTACAGAAGAAAAATGGGATTTTACATTTTACATTTACACTTATGCATTTGCCAGATGCCTTACAAGATGACTTGCACTGCATTCAAGCTATGTATTTTATCAGTTCATGCTATTATTGGGAATCAAACCCATGACCTTGGCATTGCTAGGGTCATGATCTACAATTTTTGCTACAAAAATGTTTTACGTTGACATTTAGCATTAGTGGAATATCCACAATTTTTTTATATTATTTTCAAAATAGGCAGTGTATGATTTTTTTATGCTACTGTGTTCAGTGCTACAAAAGTTCAAAGGATCAGACTCCACTACTGGATATCAGTCTGCTGGGCTGCAGTGTTGTCTACAAAGAGAAACAAACTAAAAGGAAAGAACACAAGCTGAAAATAACCCCACTGGGTGGAGAAGCCATCGTTCTCGGACTGCAGAGCAAAGAGCAGGCTGAACAATGGCTAAAGGTGAGG